CATCACCTGCCAACCTCGACTCAAGTGATCACTGAATGCATAGAGAGATTTTAAAGTTCATACATGCATCCATAGTACCCATGCAGTGTCTATCATTAACATGTCCATTCCTTTGTTGATGTCTTCTTTAGCTCTATGTTAAGTGTCACATTTTTATGAAAAAAACACACACTCAGAAACCTGATTCTTTAAATCCTTCATAGAGGGTTGTGCTCATCTGCCACTAAGTTATGCATTGTTGAGCTGCAAAGCTGTCCTTGTAAGTGTATTGTTCAATAAAGAAGAAGTGTCTTTGGCAGGAAACAAATAGAGAGTGTAGCCACGGTAAGTGCAGAATGAGGAACTCACGGTTCAATCTTAACCTGTTTAGACAGCGAAGGTTGCATTCACTGGCACCTGAGCAGAACCTTTCAAGGTACTAATGTTCCCTACCCACACACACGCACATGCACACACACTCGCCGTTAGCACTTAAAGCGCTAAAATGCGTACTCAAACATACACACGCATACAGTGAGCCTGTATGTAAAAGTGAACCTGCATTTCCTTATAGATGCACCATGTTGATGCAGATGTAATATGCATGATTAAAACAAGTACACACATGGTTGCACACATAACCCACCCACCCACTCCCACACACACATCCATACACAGTCCTCATGAGCAAACTTGGCTGTCTTTGGCCCACCATTGTTCACTGGCACTGAGGCATTACCAGGCTAAGTGAGGGGCCCTGATGGATACCTACCAGACTCAGACCACCAATAAAGGTGTGAGAGGAGGAGAAAGAGGAATATTGAATAGGGGACAAGAAGATGGCAGAAGATAGCAGAATACAGAACCCAGGGAAGAGGCAGGCAATTTGGATAAAAAAAAATCTATTGTCCCATGTATTCAAATGCACAGGTGTGTAATATAGATGCTTCCCTTCTCTGCATGGGTTGTGAAATAAGATGCCAGTTATCTTTTTATGGAATAGAAAAACCAAACTCCGCTATATGAGTTTTAGTTGCAGCACAGTCAGTACCTGAATTTTGATCCATCCACCCATAGTAGCATTATCATCCTGGAAGATCCTGTACTTCGGTAAAATTAGCATTTCTGGAATGTGAAAACACCCTGCAGTAGGCTGAAAAGCACTGCATTCAAAATGTTCATCATAGCAATAATTGGACATTTTGGCAAATACGCTAATTTGTTTTCTTTACAAGAGTTGGATGAGAAGACTGAAACCAATCTCATGTGTGTACACATACAAATAGTATAGTAAAATAGCTGTCAAATAAATGTACCAAAAGTCATCAGCAACATTAGTAAGTAACATAATTAACATATGTTCTTTAGTATGTTTACTTTGCCATAATCAATTATTCTTAAAGACTAAACCTTTTTTGTCAGATGTCACAAAGATTTTATTTTGGAGCAAAACTTAGGCTACACATTTCAATGTGATTTTTTGCACCTCAAAGGAAGCTACCAGTCTGTTCTCCAGAGAAAGTTGTGTGAGAATCTTTCCGTAGGATGCTGGCAAAGGCGTCACTTATGCCCCAGGCGTTGTAAACAGAGAAACCAAGTCCAACAGCACAGCAACAGTCAACATCCCTTGGCACAAAAATAAAAACAGAGGAAACAATCTTGAAAGCTCCACTAAAAGCAAAGTTGCTTGTTGAACTCCGCTGGGGCCACACACATCACATGGAACACAAATCAGTTTACTCTGTTTTTTTTTTTTCACAGAGCTTTCATGCAACAAAGCGTCAGCGCCATAAAAGTGCAACAGTGGGGGAGAAAGTTACATTCATTGTGTTTTTTTTTTTTGTTTTTTTTTTTTAGATGCGTTTTATATTTGATCACAACAACTTGGGCAACCTGATGGCCATCATTGGTGGCCATTCAACCGTCAGCAGAGAAGTGGAGGCTACTGCGTGGCACTTAAATGACAAGGGTGTGAATTGACAGATGAGAAAGTAAACACACAAAGGTCAAGACCCTTCACATACTGGAAGAAAGGGGGATTTGTTGTAATGTGAGTGCTTTATCTTCAGAAACAATGCCATAGTCTTGAAACTTAAGGCGCTGAAATGTTTCCATGTCTAAGTCGTGTCACATGAGGATTTCTTCTTTTACGTCTGTGATTGAGAGTTGGCAACAATAACAACGACCCGATTTCCATCCTTAATGCATCAGAAAACTTGGAACTGCTGGGCAAGATCCAAATGATCAAAGTAGGATTTGGAGCTATTTGGATAACCCATATATTATGATATGATGTGTAAGTGTATACTGTCTTCATATAGGACACTATATAATAAACCATTAATCCAGATGCTGTGATTTACTCATAAATAATGAACCTCTCTTCCTCTCAGCCTTACCTTCTCACCTCTCCCCCTCCCCTCCCTCTCTCCATCTCTCTGACAGTGGGAGACATAATCAGGTTTTGTGAGATTTGTGAGTAGATTAGCAGCCACCTTGTGTCAGATAAGAAGCTGCACTGATAAAGCCCTGTCCTAGGAGGCACATGGTTGTGATGAAACACCATATCTGACATGTGCAGATCTGTTAAGAACACAATTAAGACACTGTCTAGCCATATCTACTCTAACTGCAGTTATCCCTGATAATCCCTTCGTTCTGTGTAGGGGGTAAGGTTGAAAAATTCTAACTAAAACCACATCATCCATGCAAACCAATGACCTAGGCTAAAGGTTTGCTAAAATGCAGAGATAACAGTAGTGCGTACTATCAAATGGTAGACTAGCACAAACTTGAGAGAGTTGAGAAACTACACTGACTCAAGGTGAACCTGATGTGGATGGAAGGCACTGGCTTGGCCTTGTAATCCTATGATCCAGAGAAAAACAGAAGAGGCAGTAAATGAGTAAATATAACGCTACAGCTTTTCTCCATTACCCAGTTTATAGAGGCTCCCCCCCAAAAAAAGGATGTTTTAGTTCCCTTTTCCTCCTCTGGATAATTAGAAAATAAGACTAAATTTGAGCTGCTCCAAGAGCTCGATATACAGCGAAACACGCATTTATACCATGCTGTTTCCAGCCACCCTCCAGTTATAACTGGTCCATATAAACAGCCTAAGTGGTCTGTATAAAAAGCCAGGTGAGAGCAGCTTAATGTGCCTGGATAAACTTGCCAGCCACAAATCCAAACCTCAAATTCCACTTCACAGTGGATGAAATGATAAAAGCTGCATGTGCGTCCACACAGCATGTGCATCACTGGCATTTATTTATGTTTTTAGCAGCAGACGTACTCTGTGTTGATGGATGCATTTCAGATTATCTTCATGTCCTGCACAGCTGGAGTGAGTCTGTACCAACCCCTATCTATTAAGCCTCATAACTTCTGGTACATCTTTCTGCAAATAGCAGACTCGCCTCTCAAAGCCTCTTACCATACAAGTCATTATCAGGATGCTTTTGTTACGACAAATGCCTGTACACACGTAAAACCAGAGATTGTGTTTTTGCACTTTGCATCGGTACATGCATGATTGTATGTGTGCAGGTGTGCATATTACATCTCCTCACACTGCGAAGGAGGGAGCTACGGTACGCCGCCGATAAGATCCATTACTCAGCGTGTGATGGAGCAGAAATCCGTGCGAAGGAGATGTGTAAAAAGTAGCATCAGTCACTCATAACTTTTAGTTCAGAGAACAGTAATCTTCTTTTATCAGCGAATAGAAACACCTACCAGTCTGTGAGTGTGGTAAGTAGTAACATCGATGACTAATAATAGCTATATCTGCATTAAATCATTGTGTATTAGAAAATTATCTATTTTTTCTGACCTGTGCTGCAGCAGACCTTCCTCAGAGATGCCCTTCAGGGAATCATTATCTCAGTAAAACGCCGCAAGGGGGATGAGTGCTTCCATCTACAGCTTCTTTAACCCACATCCATTATTCAGAGGGAGTCTAGTGGAGACAGAAGTACGAGGAGACCAAGAGAAGCCACTGAAGTCTGGCTCTCACATCTACAGATGATTAGGAGAAGTCTAATAGCTGAGGATAGGATCAATATTAAAATTTTATTTATTATTTTGGAGTCACATGACATAGAAAGTGCAAGCATTTACAGTACACACACACACACACACACACACACACACACACACACACGGACAAAGTAAATGGAACATCTTGTAAGACTTCAATTTATTGTTATAATTGTATTGAATTTATTGCAGGGCTGTTGGACTGAACAACACTACAGGGTGTGCATTATTGAGAAAGACAATGTGCACATGTGCAATTGCATGGCTGACAATGTTTTAGTGATGTGTTCCCCTTGGCGACCGCCACTGTGTTTGTCACATTATGTTCAAGTTGTTTTCTGTTTAATAACAGTAAGGCAATCTGTTGCTTGTAACTGGATCTTGTTTGAATGGAGAGAAATGAATGAAACATGTGACAAGGTGTGATTAGTTATCCACCAATCTCACTGGGTGTTTGTTGACAGATGGGTCTTTTGTCAAGTTAATTTGTTCAACAGAATAACCAGGTAGATAATTACCTGTTGCTTTTGTGGCTATTAGTGCCATTGTTGTGTTAAAAACATCCTAATAGTGAATATTCATTGTTCAGTAGGGCAACCAAAGGGGTCATTGTATGTAGCTGACCTGAGGCAAAAGTCCACCATTTTACATATTAGTCCACTGTGGTGCATTATGGTGCATATTAAATCACTGTAAATGTTAAAGCAACCAAAAGCCCAGTGCAAATTTAAATGTAATTCCCCCCCAGACCGTAATTCCAAACGTGGGATTAAATATCATACAAAGTCTGGGTTTATAGGCCTCACTTTTTCCTCAACTGCAGCTGCATATAGGTTCAGTTGCATCAGATTAAACCACTATTCATCCGGGATGCAAATAAACATGATAGGGCGTTAAGAAGCTGGAGCGGAAAGGGGTGTGACTAGGGTGTTGTATTTCATGTCAAACCACCTGGAGAGGAGACACTTAAGGCGCGCTGGTTCAGGGTGCCAGCGGCAGTAAAGAGACTCCAGTCACTCAGAGAAGGCCACATCACTTAAATGACTGCACTTGAATAACTGTGTTGGACTTTGCATTCGGTTCCCCTCAGGCAATGGACAGCAGGATTCGACCGCTTGGCCTCACCGGGCACACCGCAAACCCTCTCGGTGGTTTGCAAGTGCCCCCTTCCCTCCTGCGCCCTCCACCTCTCTTCCTTCGGGCTTGTAATCCCGCGCTGGAGAGGGGATACCCCCGCACCCCGAAGTGCGCCAGATGCAGGAACCACGGCGTGGTTTCCGCACTGAAAGGCCACAAGCGCTTTTGTCGTTGGAGAGACTGCGTGTGCGCAAAGTGCACTCTCATAGCGGAGAGGCAGCGGGTGATGGCCGCGCAGGTGGCACTGAGGAGGCAGCAGGCTCAGGAGGAGAGCGAGGCCCGGGAGCTCCGGCTCTTGTACCCCGGGTCGGGGATCGGGGGAGAAGCTGGGATCCCTCAGGGGTCACCTGTAGGCCCTGGGGTGCCAGCAGCTACCATCAACACTGCAACAGCTCCTAGTTTTGATGTTTTTGGAACAGAGAACCAAAAAGATGGTACGTTGAAATGATAATTTCTGAGATTATTTTACCCATCCCATGCCAAGAATTCCATCATACCTTATCATTGTTTGAGTTAATGTTATGTGTTGCTATTGGTTTATTCGTAGTTTGAGGTAGATTTAAGATAGATTACAAAAATTGTATTGTTTACTAATTTTACACACTGTTTGGATGCAAGCACATGTGTAACCATGCAAATATGATTTCAAACCATCTGTTTTTCTTTGATCCATATTTCAGATGACAAATTGAGCAAGTACAACTTTTATAACGGATTCATGGGTCGGCCCCTCTTCGCTCCCCACACCACACGGTTGCCCTCTCCAAGTAAGAAGGAGCTGTCTCCAAGCAAAGACAACACCACTTCATTCACCGATGACAGTGCAAGTCCATCCCCGGTGTTTGACCAGCGCTCGGACCACACAGAGAGTCCGCAGAGGTCGCTCTCCCCCTCGGATCCGGAGTCAGGGAGTGAGATGGAGAAACCCAAGGACTATCCGGGCCTGGACCGCGACCCCACCGATATCATGGCCAAGATCTTCCCCAATCAGAAGCGGGACACCCTAGAGTCTATGGTGAGAACGTGCAAAGGTGACATTGTCAAATCAATTGAACTGGTGTTGAGCGCCAAAGAGAACAATGTTGACTCTGATAGCTTGTCTCCGTCTAATCACCCAAACGCGCTCAGGCCCTCTTTGCCTGGAGCGCTTGGTGCACTGGGGAACAAGTCAGCCTTCTCCCCGCTCCACATGCCACCAACGGCCGCCGGTGGAGACAGCATGTACGGGCTCAGCCCTCGCCTCGGTGTCAGCCCTTTACGGCTGACCTATTCCTCTGCAAACGGCGGTATGGCAGGGTTTATGTCACCATACATGACATCCGGACTGATGCCAGTGTTTCCATTGCGTCCAACCTTGGACTCCTATTCTTTTCCAGGCATGATCCGTGACCTCTCTTACCTTCAGAGCAAGGAGTCACTATGCAACACAGGCCTTTACACACGGCTTAACCATGAAAAATGACAAACTAAAAATCGACACAATTAAAAATGTTACTTCCTTAGTTGATACTATTGTTATTATAATTGGCTTTCAGATTTACCTTTAAATCGCTTTTCAAGTGCCTCAAAAACTATTTGTGTTGGTTAAACACATTGCATTCTGACAATTCACTTTTTGTTTGTTTTTATGGTGTTAATTTTGTGATTATTGTTAATTGTTAATAAAATCATTAAAAGGTGCACATGTCTTATTTGTGTTCATGATTTTATGAGAATATCGCATCATGATGACAAATCTATCTGTCTATCTATCTATCTATCTATCTATCTATCTATCTATCTATCTATCTATCTATCTATCTATCTATCTATCTATCTATCTATCTATCTATCATTATCTTCAAACACATAGGCCTACTCACATTTCTATATGTTTGATATGTGTTCTGACTTATACAATTTTTTAAGATAAAATTCATACAATCATCACACAAAGTAAAATCTATGTGCACAAATAAAGCTGGAGAGTAACAAGAACTCTTGGCCCTTGAGTATTGGGAAGGAGGGATAGGCGCCAGTGATCAGGTATAAAGGAATATGAGTAAAAACTTCAGAGTCTGTTCATTCATAACAATGTAAACTGTTAGAACGTCACAAGAGGAGAAGCTGCACCTCACAGGGAAATAACACGGATCCGTCTCTTTACAGGGAGAAAATAAGCTTTTCCCATAATGATCCCACATGTACCAAGTGTGTTACCCAACTGTGGTATTATGATACATCATAGGCAAGGATATAATGTTAGCCAATGGGTATAAAAAACCCATCTGTGTTATATACTTCATACAGTAATATTACTTAAACTCTAAATATCAACGTGCATTGTTCCTGTGTGAACACAAAAGTTAATAATTGAATTTAGAACTCATAACCAGTAAATAGTATAATACAGATCAGGTGATTTGTGTAACTTATGTTATATTTCTGGATAAATCTTTTGCCTCTGTCTGTCCTCTCTTATTTATAAATACACGTTTTATTTTCTTATATCACCTGAAATGCATTAATTGAACAAAATATTGAGAAATTTGAGCGTATAAAGGTGTTTGAGCATGAAAAATGACTTTTTGTTTTGGACAAGTCTCAACCACAGAGCTTTGAATGTAAGCCTGTAATAAATCATTGACCATGTGGTTTAAAAAAACAAAAAAAAAACAAAAAAAAAACGAAGAGTATTTCTTTCTCGTCTCAGAAGCCTTTCTCACTCGTGACTGGTCGAAGGAATCGAATAAAAACCAGTAGAAAGCCGCAGTAACGTCACGTGACCGCTTGTTTCAGGAAGTCATGGACACTGCCAGTTTGAATGTCGGATGCATATCATGAGTTTTAAACACGTTTGAGCGGGGTTTTTTTTATGAGGCAGGAGGGAGACAGTTTTCAAGTCTGCCCTCTGACATGCGTTTCCACATCATTATCGCAGCTGTCTTCTGGTGTGGTTTCGTAGACTCGCGGAAAATAAGAGGAATATCTTCGTCCTGTAAGTTCCCTGTCCCCTACCACCTAGCTCGAAAGCTAAATAGCTTTCAATAGATATTTTGTGCTGCAACATGTAACGTGTTATGACTTTAACAACAACAGCCCCTCAGCATTAACACAGATACCGTGAAGCAAGTGATTATGTAGTTGTCATCACTGCAGATGCTTTCCAACAGCTGTATACAGCATTTAAACTTTGTTCATAGTGCTAGCAATAAAACCAGAATTAGATTAATAAAGGTTTAATAAAGCTAGTTACAGTTGTATTTTATCACAGACTCAGCACTTCAGCACTGTGTTTTTATAAATATAGATGCCACATGTTGATTTCAGTCCACTTCTTTGGTTACTGTTTAGCTGCAGTTCAAGGTCACAAACATGCATCAGTGTGTGATGTTTTTTTCTGTAACAGACAAACGTTTCTACAGAGAGAGAAAGTCCTTTCTGTGCATTGATGGCTCGAAGATCATCCCCTTTGAGCAGGTGAACGATGACTACTGCGACTGTGAAGATGGCTCTGATGAACCAGGTAAAACATTAACCAATGTTCGAGTGGGTGTCTGTTTACCAATGTCAGCAAACTGTGTTTCCATCACTGTCACTGGTACACTGTTAATAATTACTGCACACACAATTTCTTATTGTAGGACATTAATATTTGAGTATCTGAACAGCCTTGTTAAACTGACATATTAGATACGCAAGTGGGCTTATCAGTGTACTTTGTGCTACATTTCATTTGTAATACGTGTTCACCACATATTCCCCAGATGAAGTTGGCTTTTGTAGATGAATAATTTCTATTTAATAATCTCACACTTGCCTATTTTAAAAGAGTTGAAGTTTGTCAAATAAGCCCTACTTTTGAGCAGCAGATGCTTTATTATCAGTGCCAGTGGGGTTGACTCCGTTTCTGCAAAGTATATGTTACAGTTCTTCTCAGTCGCTTTGATGCAATTCACACAACAGAAACGTCATTATCACAACTCTTAATCCAGTTCTCAAAACAGTCTATGCATTTCTGTGCAAAAGCCTCTAAAACCATCAAAACCACGTTCACGTGTCAAAACAAGCAAAGTGAATCAATCACGTCAACATTGTCACCAATGAATAAACTCCTCTCACCAGTGCTTTAAGACTTAAGACTTCAAGACACCAAATGTTTTGATATTTTAATAAAAAACATGCTAACTTAAGAAAAAGAGCACTGCAGAAAATGTAATGTAGAGAAAAAAAATGTTCAGACACATCAATGAAATGTGAATGATTTCTTTGTAAAGTCACAGTTTAATTGCTGTAACTGAGGTTAAGCAAAATGATAAAGTTGGAAAAGAAAATTCACGCTGTATATATATATATATATATGTGTGTGTGTGTGTGTGTGTGTGTGTGTGTGTGTGTGTGTATACATATACGTATGTGTGTATAGAGCTTAGGCCATGTTTGATATTTCAGTAGACACCCTCTGGTACCTATTCACAAGCCCTAAATTCAGTCTGTTGGTAATATCATCTACAGTAAGATTTTAGAGTGATTGGCCCCAAATATTCTGATGCAACCAGTCCAGCGCAGCAGAAAGAGTTAAAGAAGGAGAAAATTCCCTGGACCTCTAGTTGATATGATTTGAGATGTGTCCAATTTAAATCATATTTGACTATGTAGTATATTAACATTTAAAAAAAATCACTAAATGCAGTATACCACAGTCAAAAGTTGCAAAACAGTGACCTTTTTACTCCTTGGTACTGGTGACTGCCGAGGCTGCAGGCATTATGTTTCCTGGTTGTCCATTTTTCCCATTCTCATGAATGCGATATCTCTGTTATGTCTAGAGGGAATATTCTCAAATTTGGTACAAAAGTTCACTTGGACTGAAGGATGAACTGATTTGATTTTGGTGGTGAAAGGTCAAAGGTCACTGTGACGACACAAAACATGTTTTTGAGGCACACATGGGTTTGAGGCACACTCATACTCGACTCTTAAACAGTTTTTGTTAGAAAAGTAAACACAAAAAATAATAAAAATCATAAAACGACCGAAACAACAAACCAAAATGCTGACAAATTCTGCACAACGGCATGTTTACTCACGTCAGCAACTGGATATAACTCCTGCGCATGCATCATGAATAGTTTTGATTAGATGAATTTGTTTCTGGAAGTTATTTTATATAACGCTGACCTCTGCTCCTGGCCCCGTGTAGGAACGTCAGCCTGTCCTCGTGGTCGATTCTACTGCACAAATCTGGGTTTCCGCCCACACTACATCCCATCATCGCGAGTCAATGATGGCATCTGTGGTAAGGCTTTTTATATTGCATTATAGCGGAAGAAATAAAACTCTGCTGGGACTTGACTTTAATAAACTTTACAAAACCGTTTGAAGTAAGGCAATGGATTAACAGTGTTTTGTGCTGCAGCATTTTTGAAGGACAACAACGGCTGTAGAGAGCCATAGTGACAGATTTATTCTTGGACGAAATGAATCGCTGTCTTATTTGTTAAAAATATATGGTGAAAAGATATGATGTAGAATAAACTCTAAAAAGTCCTAATTTTCTTGGGTGTTGTTTGTATTTCCCATTTTGAGTGTTTTGCAGACATGGGAGGGAATTCATATTCTACATGATGTCAAGAAGCTGACATTTTGGTGTTCACACTGTCACTCCTTTTTGTAGTACGAACAAACAGATGAAGTAAACATGGCTCTCTAACACACACATACAGGCGTGTACACACTCGCTTTCCTCACTAAGCTTTCCTTGAAAAACATCCTGTCCTTTTCCTCAAGGCTTTACTCCATTCTTTTTTGTAAAATCTGCCGCATTCAGTGTCTAATCAGATAGTTTTTCAGCCCCGCCTTCTCATCTACTTTTGTTCTCCAGTAGCTCTCCTCTTTGGATAAAATCAATACATTCCGTTGTCAACATCTCTCTTTCAGGAGCAAACGACGGCATTCAACCAAAGTGGGTAAAAAAGAAATTGAACGAATGAAGAATAAAAAAACAGTAGGGGAAATTTCTCAAAGCTGCCATCTCCCTTTCCTCTCTCCTTTTATTCTACTCCCACTTGTCTTCCCATACCTTCCCCGCCTTGAATGGAGCCACTTAATAGCTAACGCGTCGTCGCTTTTTCCTTTTCAACTGGTTGTTGAGAAATTTTCATTGGCTTCCCTTTCTGGGCTGCAATGCTCTTGTTCCACTGGTCACCAATGGGGTTCTGGATAATTGAGAAGTTTCACACTGTGCCCACTCTCTTGGGTTAAAACATCTAAGCAAAAGCCTGATCTGAGCACTTACAAAACACCATGCTGCTGATCTTGTAAAGTGGCTGATCTCAAGAGACCCTCTCTGAACCAGAGAGAGATATCATGCAGATACAAAGATCTAATCTCCGTCTTTGAGGATGAAAAGTGACTGGTTAGATTAACATTATCGGCACTGTAGAGATTACTCATTTATCATTTATCATTTTTATTCGTCTGAGACAATTGGTGTGAGCCTGGTACATGAGCCATTCAATGAGTAGCAAAATTAAACACAATAAAGTTGGAATAGTAAAAAAATAGTTTGACACTTGTTTGCTTTCTTGCTGTGAATTAGGTGAGAAAATCGACAACCATGTTTCAACAACCTGTTAACTTAGCTTA